ATCACAAACATAGAAAACATAAGGTTAAAATATCGATATGTAGAGATTTATAGTTAACATACATATCGATAACCATTTTATCTGATATAACGAGAATGGTATCTAATTAAAGTAACCACCTGAATCACTGAATTATAATAACACGTGTATGAAACAATTACTTATTATCCGATTAATCGTGGACACAGTTTCTAATCTAACTTATGAAATAATTTTGTTTCTACCTTTATTTTTGGTGTTTTTTGACAAAATCAGCATCAAATAAAACCTCGTTTTTTGATTGACCCTATATGCTGAGACAATGCTGTGCTCGCGTCAACGTATATTTTATTATATAATTTGTTGTGCCCGCGATTTCCTCCACGTGGAAAGTAGCCTAAGTTACCCCTTATTACATAAATTATATCCCAGTAAAAGTCTAGTCAAAATCGGTTCACTCGTTTCAGAGATTACTCGGAACAAACGGACAAATAAAATATGTAGAAAAATAATATTTTTGTATATGTACCGTGCATACAATACGCATATCTTATATTAAAACATATGTTTATACGTTTTTAGTGAAAAGCGGTTATTTTAATTTTACAAACAGACATTCCCATTTTATTTATTTTATAGCAAATGTGGCCTTGAACGAAATTGTGTCTGTTCCCATATATGTATTATGATGCATTTAGCTCATTTTAATCACAGCTTATTAAGATTTTATTTTTTATACAAAAGTTTTATTTATTTATGTGTTCAAACTAGGGAATGTGATCTCGTTCTCGCGAGATATCAGTCTTTTTAGTGATACTGATCTCGGTCGAAGAATGGGCGAGATCTCGAGAGTTTAACGAGATTGCAGTCGCGCTAACGTATAAAAACGACTTATCTAAGTGGAACAGCGAGAATTTATGCGAGTACGGGTGGTCAAAAGGCGAACTTTACATTTGTACAGTACTCTTGTTTCTGACAGGGGCTTCTCAGCGGCTGGTTACCGAGCCAGCACAATAAGAAGACTATTAGCAGGCGATTCTTTGAACATTAAAAAGCTACTTTTCTTATTCGTTATAATGGCGTGTGAGATGAACTGAACAAACCTTTAAATTGATTGGTATATTTATTTTAATTTATGATTTCGTGTTGTTTTGTTATCTGTTTATTTGTTGTTAATTAATAACTGTTTTATTGTTTAAAGACTTTTGTTTGATGTTAGCAAAGAAGTTGTTGTTCGGTACTTGGATGACTGAGCTGTCGTTCCTGAAAGCCTCTGAATACTTAATTTCATAAAAACTGTTGCCGTTTACGAGATTTAAGTTAAAAAACAGGAATTGCTCGCTTTAAGGTATTAGATAATAAATATAAAAAAATCGTCAAACATTGTTAAATACATCAAACTTTATTGAAAATGTCCATAAAATAAATGTTTATTTCATAATAGCTATAATTCATATAAATTATTTGCCATAATAAACACACAAAAGTTCCAATCTCGCGACATCTCGATATCGGCAAAATCTTGCAGTATTGATATTCATAAACTTATGAGATCTCGCCCGAGCCCCAGTCTCGGGCCAATGTCCAAAGGGAATTTATGAATTTTTAGTATACCCTCTTAAAGGTAAGTGGAACTACTGCAAGGTAATAAATCATTTTGTTGTTGTTCAAATATGATTATAGGATTCTAGGAAAAAATTATATCATATTAATCTGGCATGTTACAACCTTCGATCAATATAAGTAATATAAGTATACTTAATATTGTCGATGGTTACAACATAATGTTACATGTATTTTACATACAAAACTAATTATGCAATGCAAATTGGTTTTAAAACCATGAAGTTATTATTACTTACATGTATTTAGGTAGCAATATTTAATTCAACTCTATACTTCATCTCGAATAACAAGACTCTGGAATAGTTATTCTAACGTAATTTTTTTAATTGTAGGTATATTAAATTATATATCATTAAAAACCATTGCTCAGATTACAAGATGAGTAGCTAAAGCGGCTGTATTATGGAGTATCTGAAACAACGAAGGTACCACTACACCCAGACCCGAGACAATAAGGAAAAGAGAGATTTTAGTTTCGTACTTTTTATTAATTTACAAATATTTGTTTTATTTCATTTATTATTACAACAATTTAATAAAATAATAAAAAATAAGTATTTCATTTTAATGCTGAACAACTAGCGGCTTTATCGCTAATTAGCGATCTCTTCTATGCAACTACTGTTTACAAAGAATAGTGGATTTAGGAGAATTCAAAGAATAGATTTACTTATTTATAAAAACTACTAGCTGGCTCGGCGAACTTCGTACCGCTTATACTTGTTTTTTTTTAATCTTTTATACGAACCGTGTCTGAATTGTTGAACAAATAAAAAATAGTATAATCCAATTTGGTGCAGTCAGTGGTAATGTATATATACTATACATTAAAACCTTCCTCAAGAAATCTATCTATTGTTGAAAACTGCATGAAAATCCGTCTATTGGTTTTCGAGTATCGCGAACAGACAGACAGAAGCGGCGGGGGACTTTGTTTTATAATATGTAGTGATATGTTAAGATTAATCTATATAAAGTATAAAACAGGACCACATGCCGTAAAGCTACTACATAATAAAAAAAAAAAATACATATAAATATTATTTGTTGTGTGATAAAACAAAATAAATCAGTAAAGTTGTCTACGGGTAGCGGCATATATTAGTTAGTAGTTTATATGGCAGGTGCTCATTGCGTCACTATCACAGATTAGATAAATGAACGAAATCACCATTTTTATTGTTGTCGTCGTAGGCATCACTGAATATTTGTTATCTTGCATTAATTTTAAGGCCATTGGACATTATTGGCGTACTAGCTAGCCGCTTTCTATTTTAAGTCAGCGATCAGAAGAAGGGAAATTAGGTAATAAGTTTATTAGAAAATTAATGGATATTGTGAAAAATTATGAAATGTTACGTTCAAAAAGTTAAGGTTCATATTTTGGATTTAGGAGGTTTTGTTAATTTGAAAACGATGTCAAAATAAATATATAAGGTATTATTAAAAATATATATATAGTTTTGACGTTTAGGAATACCTAATATTATTTTTGAGCAATTTCTATTCATTTGGCATTTTAAAAAAGGGACCCTTGCCTATTGTTAAGTTCCCACACGCGCAATATCTACAGGGGGATACTTGCCTCTTATGGGGATATAATATTTCATAGTGAAAATCATCACCGTTAAATGAATTAAAACATTTTTATATATTTATTTAACGCAAAAAATTGAAAAAAGTTTAAAATAGTGAATAAAAATGGTCATAATAGTAAAAAAAAAAATTTAAATGCTCTCAAGTATATCTTCAACGCTTGTCACAAAGTCGAAGAATAAGATTTCATACGGACACAACGAGTGAGCCCTATCTTGTGCGGGCGATAAGACCACTGGTGGGATAAGCGTTTAGCGTATGACCAATATCCAACACAATGCTGTATAAGTTTTTACTACTTTTACTACTTGAAAATCTTTTTGATGATAATGTTAATGATATCAATGGAAACCTGTTATTGGTTTCATATAAGTTGCATCTGTATCTGAACCATGTTATATCTGTTGGTTTCCTTAAATAAATTAAATTTCTTTCAATAGAGTGCAGCACTAGCTACACAGAGTAGTTAGCAAAGAGTAAAGTAATAGAGAGCATAGTAGGAATTTAATATTTTGGAATTTATGATTAGAAAGTAATAGTTCATTCATTTCCAAAAGATATAACGATGTAAATAGCGCTACTATCTAAGTCGAGTTTTGCGTAATTTTACTCTATTCGTTAGGGAAACTTTTTAATAAGTAACCCTTTGCCAACCAATTGAATTTTGTCTACGATAAAGCAATAAATATACTCGTGAGATGCATCGCTAAATTCACGCATAGGTACACGCAATAAGGCTTTTCTTACGTCGTAAAATATTTTAGTATTGGCAACAAATAAAACCTTATCATGTTCCTTAATAAGGGATATAGGAATGATATAGTTCCCTTGGCCCACAGATATATATTATGTCAATATTCCAAGTAATATAAGGGGAAAAACTATTTTAGGGTATAAAAACATCGTTTCATTTTGCCGCTGTTAAGTAGGTCTTGATTTTTTAAAACAAAATAGTTTAAAATTATGTCGTCCAGTATCTAACGTCAAGCACACATAATTATCTTTCCAACAACATAATTGTATAACTAACTTACAATGTGATAAAGAATTCCTACATTGTTGGACAAAGATAATCCAATCAAAGTTCATGAAATCATTTTATAACCTAAATTATTTTAACAGGTGAGAATGTTGCAGAAATAATACAAATCATCTCAAGAAATTAAATATTTTATTTAGAACATTTAGATCAAATATTGTTTAATTTTGTATTTATGTAATTGTTTTAATATATTAAAATTAAATGATAAACACGACTGTATAAAACCGATAGACTTATTTTTAAATTGAAGTACACAAAAGGTTCTTATGCAGAGAAGAAATTGACTAGAGATACATCATATTTTTAGGAAAAGAAAAGTTTTCACTGTTCTTTAAAAAACTTTAGAGAACATAAAATTTTTCATAAAATACGGTAAAATAGGGTCAGCTTACTCGTTTTAACGAGTCAAACATAAATATGTATGATAAGTTTTGAGGGGCTTGATGGCTCTCTGGCTTGCGCACCCGGTCAGCAAAATGGTTGTTAAGCAATTTTCGTGATCAAAAATTTATTATGTAGAACTCCTCCTTGCTTCGGAATGCACGTTAAGCCATTGATACCGGCTGCATCAACTGTTGTTAATACCCACCAATCCACACTCGGCCCGTGTGATGAGGTCATGGGCCATTCTCTCTATTCGATTTGAATTGATTCAATTTATAGGGAAAGCCTGAGTCCCAGCGGTGGTGACATAAATAGGTCGCTGATGATGATAAGTTTTGATTCTAACAAAACAAGTGGAAAAGGATCAACTCACGTGTATCCAGCTAAAATGTCCATGAGCGAACTTTTACCAGCACCGGACTGACCCATTATAACGGTCAATTCTCCTGCGTTGAATGAGCCCGACACATCTTTCAGTATTGTCTTGCGTCCTGCGGCATAAATTTTAATGAATATAAAGTGTGTTCGAATTCTAAATAATAGAAGAACATTTGGCGTGCATGGTTGAATTTGCCATTCATTCTCTTATAACGATTCTTTATTTCTGATTCCTATTCCTCAGGGTTGATTTTTAGGGCCAGTTTTATATATTTAAATATCCATTAATTTCCTTTTTAAGTTCACAATGTATCGAACGGTAGGAAATGTTTTTAATTTTTTGACAATAAAGTACTGTCAACAACATATATGGCTATTCAGTGGCTCTGCTCTGAAAATCAATTTTCGATATATTGTCAACGTGCTCTGTCATTCCATATGATATTAAAAATCGGAAACAAAAAGGTAAATTAGAGCAGAACAGATATTGAAATAGGCCACTATATAAAGAATTTTTATTTAAAGAGTATAAGGCTTGTTGAATATGTTAAAAGGAATTTATTCAATAATTTAAAATTTGAATTTTTTAACATTATAATATTTGAAAATCGAAGGAAAATTATAGTCTCATGCACAAGGAATAGGATAAAATTTGAAGTGGTAGTTTCGCGGAGTGAAACACTTGGTGAAGACGACAGTTGTAATGGATGCATGTAGTGTAAGTTGATATTGTGTACTTGCACGTTGATTAGGAAGCGGAAGAAAAACATACTATGAATGCGTTACTTATACGGTATCATCATCTGACTACCATTAAGTAGATGATATACTCGATTATATTTTCAAAGGTTGAAATCCTAAAATTTTTCGAGAAAATTCAACAGGTTTTCAAATCTATTTCAGCCTCTTTAATAAACTGAGTATTGAATAAGACTTTTGTCGTCATATCATTATTATTATTAATGATGTTAAGTATTTATTAGTTGACAATATAACATTTTATCACCAATTTGTCTGTAGTCAAGTAAGTAAGTGTATAATGTGTCGCATTTTTGTCACTACTCTCAGATAAGAGAGTTATCTGATATGTCTTTATCGACGTGTAATGTAGAAATGGGAAATAAGTGTATTATCGTCTTAAGAAAAGGAAATGGATTTATTGATTTAATGGATGTCAATTTGTAATTGACGAATATTAACTAGGCCAGATATATCTCGTAACAGATTCATAGACGGAACTCGCTATTTGAGAAATTGTGAATTTACAATATTAAATCGATTACATCATAAAGAAAACTACTTCAAATTCTAGTCACTACTTTTCGAGATGGTATTTAGGCCCCCATAACCTCCGATAACGTTTTTATAAATTTTGCTAAGTCATAATTACTTAAAAACATTGTCCGATTTATGAAAGATTATATGTTCAAATAAATAGTAAACAAAAGCCTCACGAGTTTGAATTAATGGACAAAGTAATTCAGATGGAGTATTTAACGGTTTGGGTAATTTGATTTTACCTAGAATGAAGACGATTGCTGAAAATGTGTTAAAAATCTCGTATCCTGACTGGTAGTTAATTAAGATTAAGATAATAGGTGAATTTCACAACTGCAATGTCAGGCTGGATCAGTGATCAATTAATAAGATTCATGACAACTGTATTGATGTGATGATTCTTATGAATTTTTAATAAACCCTTTGATATCGTTTGTATATCGGATTTACATTTTACTTATATGGGTGCAAATAAATTAAATCTAGATTTCCTGTTTAACCACGGAAGACTTGCATCTTTACAAGTTGTAACCATAAGATATTACTTACCTCTTTACTCATTTGCAAATAACAAAGTTACTACACTACATAAATGATTTCTACATCTACAAAGTAGTCATCAGTTGTTTTGTGATAAATAATAATTCATTCAAGTATTGGGTAACTAGATTAACATCAAGTCGAGTCGTCTGGTTGATTAATAAGTATGTTTTTGATATGCTTAGTATAGAACTATAAATGAGTAAATCGAATTTAATAACAATACATCCGTTTAAGATTATTGTTCTCATTATCATAGTTCAATTGCTGATAAACTCGCATGTGCAATTATCAATATCAATAACATTATATTAATAAACTATTATATTTCGTCACAATAATAGTTTGCACTATTAAATTATTTAGGTACTATTAACAATGACTGCTACAAAGTTGAGTTACGTAGTTCAATGACATTTAACACAATATTGATAAAGGCTGAATAATTAAGTAGGCAGTTAATTGAATAAAACTATTAGAATGCTGTATCTTGATATCTAATAGGATTCGTTGACAATTTGACGGAAACAATAAACGTAGAAACTGGAGCATTTGTTTACATCATAAAGGATTTGTGACAAAGGAAATAAATGTATATCAAGGACATCAGGTATATTAGGAAGTATGTAATTAATCATGACAGTATATATGAGTAATTTTTTTTATTGTATGCCATAAGTAAACAAACAAAGCAGTGAGATTCACTCACCCCCAGCTAAGATACCATTTCGTACAGTGTAGTTTATGTTTTTGAAAGCTATATTCAGTGAGTCTTCGACCAAGGAGGTGGAAGTTGTCTCCTGCGACTCTGAGTTGTCGCTGCTCATTTTGTCAACCAACACTGGCACTTAAAGCACGTAAACGATACTTATAAATTCCATTGCGCGGTATGAAACACAAAGGAGTTTGTAAACAAAAGGGCGGGTCACACCGCCCGCTGCGTTATGCCCGCGCGGAGAGTCATCGCATACTGGCGCTATGCTGTCCGCTGCGCAAGAGCTGTTAGCTTGTTGATAAACGTTAGTCCTCCCCACCTTACCCCACGAACCAGCTGATGGTGATGCCTTTATTGCCGACAGACAAAGACTTGACGTGCTACTGTTTGAAACAAGTTTTTGATATCAATTTTTATTTTACATCAATACTTAGTAAATACAATTTCACGCCATTTTAGGTTAAAACGATTTTTTATAACAATACAACTTAGTATGTTTGATAGCGTCTGTGAGTGAAGTTTTGGTGATAACATAATTATCGTGACTGTTTGTGACTAGATACTTATATCGTAAGATATCATAATGAGTTTGTGTACACACAAAAAGGTAGACTGGCTTACATTAGATTATCTAGAGAATCATAAATGGATATTTCTCTTAAACATTTGGAATAACGTTACGTTTTTATTAAGTCATATTAAGAGATAAAAAAACTATTCAGTATAAATAAACCCTTTTTCTTTCTATTTTATAAACTCTACATTTCCCTCAAATCGGCTTCAAATCTAACATTCGGTGTTATATTTTATGTTGGGTGGTAAAATATAAATAGATGTTTTTCGAAATTTTGTAACTTTAGATGTCCCAGAAGGTTCGTATTTAGGACCTATCTTATATATAGAATTTTTGTATAGATGTTTTTTTAATCTTTTGTCGAGTGATGTTGATATTGCGTGGTGGAAGAAAACTTAAGAATAATATTATCTAATAATAAATACATACTTCTATTATATGTCATTTTTTGCAATGTACAAAATTCTTTTTAAATTTGATTTGATTTGATACAACTAAGAAGAAAAGTTGCCCTGAGACTTTATAATATAGTTTGATAGTGTTTTCGGCATTGTCTGAATTGCCTTATTTAATATTATTGCTGCATCAAAAGTTTGTTAACTGTAGCATAGTACATATAATATTAAAATGCCTTAAAACATAATAAATTTGATTTATGCATTACATAAAAAACTGGCCAAGTGTAAGCCGAACTCGCTCACATGAGGTTCCGTATTTTTTTTATTTATTTACAATGGGCTCACTCTAGGCCTCAGTCTAGCCTAAGGACATAGATGAGATCGGTGGGATCTCATCTATAAACTTAGGTTAGATACGGTGGGAAGAGCTTGCCCAGAAGGAACCTATTCACTCTTGCCTTAAATAGGTCTGGGTTATATGCACTCGGGAATATAGACGCCGGCAGGGAGTTCCACTCCTTAAGCGCTGCGCTTCCTAAGCGCAGTAAAAAAGACGGAAACGAGTAATCAAATATTTATTTTATTTTGTGTTTGATGTTGAAGCGGCAACAGAAAAACATCTGTGAAAATTACAGTTCATAAGATACAGCCTGGTGACAAACAGACAGACAGCGAAGTGTTATTAATAGGGTTCTCGTTTTATTCTTTGGGTACGAAACCCTGAAAATGAACTGTATTACTTACCTTTTTAATTTCACAAGATGTTTAGTGTGAAATGTAATTCTTGATTTCATTAGTAAATCTAATTTTGAGCGATAACCAAGGTTAATTAAAGTAGAGTAAGTTCCGTTAGTGTTTCAGTTAGTGTCTCCCGCTTAAGTTTTTCTTTTACAAAATTATTAGGAAAAATCGTCTTTGAAAATTCTAAAGTGTCGGCGGTTGTTTTAGAAAATTACATTGACTGTTAGTCAAGATGATTTTCTAAAACTATGTTAGTAAGATGAGCTCTATACTTAGTTCATATTGAATGGTTATCTTTCTAACAGTATTGAATGATAAGGCATGAGTGAATACGTTCCTTCTGGGCAAGCTCGTCCCACCGTATCTAACCTAAGGACATAGATGAGATCCCACCGATCTCATCTATGTCCTTAGGCTAGACTGAGGCCTAGAGTGAGCCCATTGTAAATAAAAAAAAATATACGGATACGAGTTCGGCTTGCACTTGGACGGTTTTTTATGTAATGCATAAATCAAATTTATTATATTTTTAAGGCATTTACAACAAAGTAAATTGTGTAGTGGGTGATTTTAAATTAAATTCAATAACTTCTTTTTACGAGTTGTAATTGATACAGATACAGGGCTGACAGAAAAAGAAAAATTAGTATAAACTGTGTTCCTTAGCATGTACTGAAATTTGCTTTCACCAATCATCACCAGCACTATCTATCTCCGTAAAGGTAACTTTTTTGGTGTCGGAAGAGAATGTCGAAGCTCCAGCCACACGTTCATAGGCTAGTCAAAAGTAATAAAAACTAAGCAATGAATAAGTAGATAACAGAAAACATTGTAGAGGATAATAATGTTAATGTGGGATTGTGCGTTGTATAAACAAACAATCAACTTTTAGATGTACATCCACGTCTATGGACTATGTTTTATTCTTGATGAGGACTTTTTATTTATTCCCGAAAATAAAAGAAACGTTTTGGTGGAAAAAAAGCATACATCGCCGTCGAACATGTTTATAACCTCCTTTTGGATTTTAAAGTCGGTTAAAAACGTATTGTGGTCGCCGAGGTAGCAGCAGTAGCTGTGTTTCAAATGTCCGTCGAAGAGACTTTTAGAGACGAGTGGGTAGAGTGTACTTTTCCTGTGTTTCATCGGATACAGCGTTGATCAGTATGGAAATGGTCACTATTTTGAAAGATATAATAAAACTAATAACTTGCTTCTTTGGACAGTTTTTGATTTTATAAAACATTCGGTTAGATCTTCGTTGCAAAAGATATTGTTAGACTGAGCGACTGAACGATATAGTAAAATACGGTATAGGAAACTATTGACTAAGATTTAAGAACATCTGTTATTTGATGTCGACGAACTTCATATGTTAGATAACTAAATAATATTATTACTCCATAACCCATGTTTGCTAGTGTGTCGATATGTCTATATGTTTGTTTACTGCAATGACTTTTGATCAGAACCATTAATTTCCAACTAAGGGAACGTAAAAAGTTTTATCACAATTGGTTCAATAGTAATTTTGTAGACTATAAAGTAAACGATTAAAAAAATAATAATAATATCCTTATTCAAAAAATTTATTAATATACAGGTTACCTAAAATTTTAATGAATTTATGGGGTAAAAATAACCAAATTCTTTCATAATAAATACAAAGTTATAATAATTTTAAGTTATTTATTGGTATTTATTAACAATAAATATAATAACAAATAAACTTCATACACTTTTAAATTTTACCAACTTTATTTTGGTAAAACTCTTTTTACCTTTATATAAATCAAGAAATATAGTCAAATAAGAAATTTAGCTTTTACTTTGTCATATAAAACAGATTGAATAAATAGGTTAACATTGTAAATAACATCTTTTAAATTAAAAACAAAGAAATAACTGTCTAAACAAGCATAATTTAATATGAATACGATTAATAAAAAAGATCTTTTATTACACAAATGTTGTTTGTTGAATGGTGATATGAATCATCTAAGTATAAAAATTAATATTCAAGCTTTAGAATTATATATAAAATTGGTTTATTAAATAAGCAGTATAATTTCACCATTAACAAATACAAAAACACTATTTAATTGATTCTAAAAGTACTAGGACATAAATTTTCTTCTAATAATGTTTTATAATTATTTAATAAGAATCTAAAAATAAGATGTTTTTTGGTTCAATCTTATTTTATATTTTTTGTAAATACCAACTTTACAGATTTTTGTGATCTTACGAAAGAACTATCAAGATTCCCTTCCAGTAAGACAATAAAAGATAGGTTAATTCCCCTGCTAAATCATTTTACGTTATAAACTATAATTTATGGGAACCAAAGCATAATATACACGCAGTTTCTTTAAATTAATTGGAACCTAACAAAATATCAATAAGTGTCGTTAAACTATCCATTAAGTACAGTTATCACTTTTCTTACAAAGTTAAATATAATACTAGCTAACGAGGAATTAAATATACTTATGTCTAAAACTATCCCTAGTTTATAATCGCATAGTTATTAAACGATTTATATATGTATACTAAGAAAGAATACAATTCTAGCAATAGCCTTTTTCTAATATGGGTTTTCATTTTTGTATAACCGTTCTAAATTTGCCTAGATTTTTAATGTTTTATGGCAAAACACCATTGATAAAAATATGGTCGAATATATTTGCGGTCTCAGCAGAATTAAATAAATAAAGTTGTCAGTCATACTTTTATAAATAATAAGTCAAAGAAATAATAATCGCTTACGAAACCGCCAGTGTTATAAACAAAAAGTGTAAAAAGTTTTACGTTATTAGACTACCATGATTGGCCTTTAGAAAATTTTTAATAGATTCTTGTATAGTTTGATCAGCTTGTTTTTAATTATAGCCAAATGTAATATACAAGATGCATATTTTTAAATTTTATCTACACATGATACTAAATTATCTACAGTATAATGATTTAAAGGAACTTTTAAACATTAAATCATGAGGTATGTAATGTAAATAAATTTCAAAATTAATGAAATCAAAAGTTTCGTTTTTTTAAATCGACTTTAACTTAAAATCTGATGACAATTGTTAGATATTTTAATTTAACGTACGCACTTTTGTTTGAGGTGCAATCAATAGCACGTCAGATTTACACAAAACTGATAGATTACCATACTTTATTTTAAACCTTAATACATTGAGGGAAGATGTCAAAATCTATGGAAATTTGACATATTGTGTGTATATTAAATTATTATACCTCTCATAATGATACCCCAAAATTGAAAAAGTGTTTACTATCATACTCTTAAATAATATCGAGATCTGTTTATTCGAGTTAAAATTCCTAACCTAATATTATGTCAATAACTCTCTCGAAATGGTCGATCTAATAAGTTCTAGAATTTAACTAATTCAGATATGTATGTGCTAAAGTACATTATTATTAGCCTCCTGCATATTCAGCTTGTCTTCTAGAAGCTTATGATCATCTTTTATTCAGTCGGTACCATAGCGCAGCGCATGTGAGAAGATGCATCACAACTGTGATTGAGAGAACTAAAGCCATGTTGCTTCCGACATCAATCTCAGCCATATCCATTTCAACTAGGAACTTTTGAGGTGTAATGTAGTGGCAATACACTGAAAATAAAATAACATAAGAATTTAAAAGAAAAAAAAACAGCAGTAAAAAATATCAGTGATCAGGTTTTCATTTATAATAATAATGCTTATTGTGACTATTTCATGTTTAAAAGTATTCTTCTTTGAAATTACAATTAAATATAGCATTGTGAATACAATTTTCATAAATATTATATAATTAGGTTAACTTTGTTCAGTAGTTTAGGCGTGAAAACGAAACAGACACATAGGCAGAGACAAACACTAAGTAACTAGCTGTTATTCCGCGACATCGCACGCGTAATTTATAGCCCTTGTCAACCCCGTATAATTACGAAATATTAGGTGAAAGAATTTAAAAAAAATTTGAAGTTTCGTAACCTATTCGATGCAAACAAACAATCAAATCTTTCCTCTTTATAATATTGGTATAGATAAGTATAGATTAGTTTTAATAGTAAAATGAGAGTTCAACGGCATAGTTTTAATAAGTTAAACAACTTTCTCAAAACCCCAGTTATCTACTGAATGACCAAAATGTACCGAATCAAGCTCTTCCATGCTTTACAAGGCACGTTAAGCTGTTGTTTATTGTTAAGTATGCAGTCGTTAGTAGCTACCAATATACAATGAGTTCGCGTATAGGCCGACCTCTTTTTGATTTTGTATGATATTATAGGAGAATCCATTGTTCCAGCAACAGGCTGACTGTGATGAAATTAAATTGAACCTTTGTTATTATTCTTAATGGAAAACGTTTAAAAAAATCCACATTGTTCCTGGCACTCAGAGATGGGAATTAAAAAATAAAATTTAACGCATTTTCCATTAAGAATATTTTTCAATATAGCATTGTCAATTTAAAATTGATCAAATATAAAATAACCTTTTTGAATAATAACTGGCTAATTGTTCAATAAAAACTTCAAACTGAGTGCTGAATTGTGTATAAAAAAAAACTCAATTATGATATTCTACAACACTTACTTTTAGAGCAATGTATCTTCGTTCTGTTGAATCCGTATACCGAATGAACTGCCACGTGGAAACCGGCCCTGAAGTATGAAATGTGATGCAGCCATCGGAACGGGTACGGTGTATCAGATAGCGCCAGGCAGAAACCGAAAACGGAGAATAAACATGCCACCACTGGACCCAAGAATACAGCAATCTGAAAAGAAATTTTACATAGGTACTATTAACAATCATATAATTTTCAAGCTCTATTTCAAGTTCTGCCTTTGACTGGGATGTTGATTTCGTATTTATTTCTATTGTCTGTCTTTACAATAACACGAGAAGAAAGCAGCTACAGTATCGTGTATTAAAACCAGCGTTGAACTCGATGTCGAGCGCTCGCGCTGTCACAGTATAGAGTTCGATCAATAAAATCATAATTACATTTTGAAGTAGGGAGTAGCTCGGTGGCGTAGTGGATATGCGCCACGGCACGCGATCGTTGTCGTTAAGTAAATTTCGTCAGGGTCAGTCACGGGATGGGTCACCAAAAAATTATTATCTCGAGCTATTCCGTGCTTCGAAAGGCACGTTAAGCCGTTGGTCCCGGCTGCATTTGTAGTCGTTAATACCCGCCAATCCGCATTGGGCCAGCGTAGAGGGTTATGCCCTATACTCCTTAACCATTCATATCAGCCTGAGTCCCTGCAGTGGGGACGAAATAAAGGGTTGCTGATGATGATGAAGTAGGTTTTATATGATCGAACGACTACGCTGTGACAACACTGTGTTTGACACTGCGTTCTGCTGCTGATGTCATTACAAATGTAATAACCTATGTTATTGTTATTACAGAATAGCACTGCTAACTAAAACATTAGTGCTGGACATTGCGTGCAAATTTATATCAGGAGATATCATAATTTAATTATTTATTATAAGTTGGATTATTTGTTTATCCCATACCTTCGTAGGAGTAGTAGATCCAATGAAGTATCCCCAAGCTTGAGCACAGAGGGACGTGGCAACAATAGTAGCCAAGAATAAGGTCGCTCTCGTTGGTTCCAGTGGATTGTCAGTTAGCCAGTACGAGAGCACAACGTAAGATACGCAGGAAATCATCTGTGAAAAAGTTTCTATTATTAAGGTTTATAAAGCTCCTTAAAGAGAAAAGGAATAACTAAATCAGAATATATGGAATACAAGACATTAATAAATTGTTGTTTATGATGGAGGTACTTACCTGAAATGGTAGTTCAACTGCTAAAATCGATATTATGTATGGTCCCAATCTGTACCATCGATTAAAATATTCGCCTTTCAGAATATCCATTTCTAGCGGAACTGGAATATAAAGAAAAATATATTCTAAATAACAATCAACTTAACATAAGATAGAGTGGAATAGAACCTCAGCATTCTAAGTAAAAATCGATATTGAAGTTACTATTTAGGTTTAACTTTTTATTTATTTTTCGTTTTTAATATTAAGTTTACATTTTTCATAGTAGACTTTGTAAATGTTGTTTTTTATATTCTATATATGTACAAAGGAGGGCTTAATGCCTAAGGCATACTATACCATGTATTATGGAGACATTTTAGTGATAAGTTGCACTACTAAACGTAATAAGTCAATTGCGTAGAAATCCAAGTAATATTCTTGGAATGCATGTACCTATAATATACTTTTATGCTATACTATACTATATATACTAAATGATGTATTACCATAGCATTGTAGAGTTCAAACTTTTTATCAGGAAAAATGATACAAATGATCTCTTGGACGTGTAACCAAGTAATATGATCTCCAATGATAATAAACAGTAAATGGTAACGTATCAACTATTTATAACATTTTTATAAATCATTCGTACTAAAAGATCTCCGTGGTTTAGTCAACGTTGAATATTATGTTTTCCATTTTGTCCCAGATTTAGATAATAATTGTTTCAGATTTCTATAATGACTTTAGAACCAAAAGCTCTTGGCTAAGAGTAATGTGTGACATGATCTAATATATTTTTTATGTTTTAGTATAGAAGCATAAAGTTTGAACATTATGAAGGTTTTGTCAAAGTTCTATAACTTCTTAATTGATTGATATTCAGTAAACAAAACTGTGAAACGTTTGTGTGTGCAATATTTTTTCATTATTTGATGTATTTTTTAAGAATTACATTTTAGAAAAATATTATCATTCTTTGGTTCATCTTTAACTGTGGCAAATTTCATACCCTTACCAATGTTTGTTCAAGGGATTTAAAGTTTTTGCTTCAATATGTAGCAATTTCTACACCCGACTGGGGGTGGAAGTTCCGCAAGACCAGATATATACTGCCCGCACACAAATTCACATGTACAATCGGCAATAAATCTTACAAAATCACCACTATGCATGTGTTTCAGCCCTCCATGGAGCATCCCCAGAAGTTGTTAGCAATGGAATTGCCCAAAATAGCACCTGTTTCTATTAAATCATTATTAATACTTACATGACAATGTAACAGACATCTTTCCTGTGTACACAACAAGTAGCATTGATCCATACAAGTAAACATAGTTGCCGAGTACGGTGCTGGCTTCACTTCCCACTCCCGAGTATAAGTATCCAAATATTAAAGCTATCACCACGTGAGCAGCTACTCGATACATAAACAAAGACTGTAAACAAACAAATCCAAAATGAATGGTGATATTTTGTTATAAATTTTGCATTCAAAAATGGTCAATTTATGAAAATTTGTCCTTATTATTATATTTGATTAATTTTGATGCTAATCAGGTTAATGTTTCAGTGCAATACATTAATATACGCACAAACATACTCACATAATTTCTTGTTGTCATCAAATAGTTCCTGTAAAGCAGAATCCACGTTTGTCGGAGTAAACCCGACTGTCTGTACATGGTTTTAGAATGTTTTTGCTGGTATTTAGAATTTTCTAAGAGGTTCTTTGATTTTAACTGGCTAGTTATATCTGAAATAGAAAAAGGTTAATTGTGGTAAACTATCCATCCATATTAAAACTAATGAGTCACACCATAGAGGTTGAATTAAATAAAATCTTTGTTACATTTTGAATTCGATTCAGGTTCGGTTCAGTGAATTCTTTGATTGAATCTTTATCACCTTTGAGCTAGACATTGCGTACGACGCAGATTTTGAATAGTAAAGCAGTAACTATATGAAAGAGGACGATTGATGATTCTATTGCCGATTTCGAGGTATCGCTAACTCTGAGGTCTCGGGTTCGTAAAATTGGGAAACAGCGAAATTTTATCTAATGTTTCTAGGTACCACGACCTTCGTTTAGGGTTATTTCATAAGGGAAGTTCCATAGATTGAAAGATTTTATTTTGTTTTTCTCAAAAATAATTGAGATTAAATATCCCTTACCTATAGGACTAGGTAGAGCTGGTATAGTAGGAACATGTGCTGACCAGCTGCCGTTCGCTGTTAATTCAGGTTTGTAGTGCGCCATAGTCTTGGCAGCCTGAATCAGATCCACTTCATATTCTCCTGATGCAACTTCCATCACTGTGAAGTACAAATAAAAAAAAATTATAAAAAATTAAATGTGGGATTTGTATAAATCAATGCGCAAGTGCATGATGTTTTTTTATAAATATTCATTTATATCGTTGCTTATGATATATTGTAATGAGGAAGTATTAAAAAAAGAAAAGCACTAAAAAGCATCTCACTAGATAGCGACTCTATGAAAAGAGCAGGAAACTAATGAAACAAAGATAGTCATATCCGTTCCTTTTAACTAACATATTAAAAAACTGAAATTTGCAAAGTTCGAAACTTGGATATCAATACAAATACGAAAAAGTACAAATAGAATATGAGTTGAGTTATTTATTGAGTTTTGAAAACTAACTTACTTTTATACATGAAAGAAAACCGGAAGGGTTGTTATGGAGAAATCAAGAAAGTACCGTAGCGACATCTAGTTTGATTTCGAGAACTAATGTTTTTTCAATACTTCCTCGTTGAAGTTTTAATCTATACATTTGATTTAAGATAGTTTTATAAGTATCTTTAATTTATCTGCATTAAACATGATTTAAAAAGGTCGAACTGCTTTTAATTTTGGTAAAGGTTTGTTGAAAAATAAAATATATTATTATTTAGTTGAAATGTCTTAATGATTAGCTCGGTGGGGTAGTGGATAAGCGCCGCGGCCCGCGATCGTAGTCGTTAAGCAACTTTTGTAAGAGTTGGTCACGGGATGGGTGACCAAAAAATTATTATCTCGAGCTACTCCGTGCTTCGGAAGGCACGATAAGCCGTTGGTCTCGGCTGCATTTGCAGTCGTTAATACCCTGCAATCCGCATTGGGCCAGCGTGGAGGGTAATGGCCCATCCTCCTTAACCATCCATAAGGAAGGCCTGAGCCCCTGCAGTGGGGACGTAAAAGGGCTGCTGCGTAAATCATATCACTATAAAAGAACTTTTTATTCATAATTTAAAATTATATCGAATTGAAAAACGTCGCTATCACAGAAGACGAGCTATTCATCATGTTAAATGGAATTCCGTCGTGATCTATAACCTTATACGAAATACTATAGCAAAAAAAAATCGCAAAGAAATCAATAATTGTAATACCATAATTAATATTTCAATTGAAACAAGCCCGGATAAAAACAGAGTATGATACCTATCGGAATGACTCATAAATTGTTGATTTACTTAATCGAATAATATTAGTTAATTTATTGATAAATACGATAGTTTACGTTATACAACTGTGAGGAAATTTTCTATTTATTAATTAAATAATTAAATATCATGTTGATATTAATTTGAGAACGTACGGGCAACACAATTAATTAAATTGCTGATCAATATACTTTTTAGTGTTCCGTACGAAGAGGGTTAAACGGGAACCCTATTATTTTGATGTCTGTCTGTCATCAGGCTGTATGAACCGTGAAAGTTAGACTGTTGATTTTTTTATTTTTATTTTGCTTAACTTAATCAATTTTTTATTCATTTCTACAGCATTTATAAACCACGAAGGTTTGTGCCAGTACTGTTTGCATCTATGTAATCATCTGTCTTTGTTTAGAATTCTTATAATAATAATGTTTTAACAGCATTCACATAAGAAATAAGTCACGGACTCTGTAAAGGGTCCGAAACGTCAATGAAACTAAATACAAACGCGATGAAACCGTTTAAAAGTTGTTTCATTTATGGATAGAGCGCGTGAAAATATAAGGAATCAGTATATAATAAATCCAGTTATGAATATTTATGGAGTACTATTATTATTAGTTATGAATCTACTAGGTAGGTCTGATGCTAGGTAATGGTATGGGCAGTTCGATAAGACATAAAATCAAAGTACATAAATAAGGAAAGGAAATTTATAAGGAAAACAAATTGCATAATTTAAACGGTTTCATCGCGTCAGTATTTTTCTTGTTTTGATGTTTAGGACCCTTTCTTTACAGGTTCCGTATGTTCACATAAGACGTAGGCGTTGATTGTATTTTTTTAAAAAGACAGACAAACTCCCACAATAAAAGTGAATTACTACATATATCAATTCAAAGCAAAGGGTCCGAAATGTCAATAAAAAAAAAGAATATAAAAGTAGTTTCATTTATGGATAGAGCGTGTGGATTTATAAGAAATCGATACGATATAATCGAGTTAAATGTATATTAGATGATTACGTATCATAGTAACTAGAACTAATTAACATTTGTTTAAGATTATCTGGGATCAGTTTATGCATACATTGCTTGCATAACTTTTTTATTATTGCAGTTAACTGTTAATATTGACGATTAAAATTAAAAGTAACAAACTGTTAAATTTGACTTGACTTATGTACAGTTAAAATGAGGTTTTATTCTATTTGCAATTTTAGTTGAGGCATCGAACTTAAAATCCAATGAGGAAGTATTTAAAAAAATAAAGAAACTACAGAAAATTATGTCACTAGATGGCAGCACAAATTGTTGGATCTAAACGTCAATTCATGACGTTAAACCAAAGAGAATAGATTTGTTAGTGTTGTTATGGATCTGATAACTCGGATTAATATCGAGCTGAAAATTAACTTGTTTGAGTTATGCAAACGCAACTCGATTAATAGAAAGTAATCTTCGAATAAATTTACTTTTTATTTGTATAGAGGAAAATGGAAACTAACATAATGCAAGTGAGCACAGAGGTTTTTTAAATTTATGGAAATCAATTGAATGCTGTGATATAATTAAAAGTGGCATCTAACTACGGTATACAATAATATTACCGCCAAATAGTTTTATAAATAAAATAGGTACTTATGTCATTGTAGGTCTAGGAATTTTTCATTTTAATATTTAATAAAAGTTCAGAAAAAATAACAACTAGGTAAGTTAGTTTTATTGTTATTAGTTGTTTGTTGAACTTACAACAACAAAACTACATCAAGTTTCAATAATATTTTTATATTATGTATTATAGTATAGTTGAGTTGTTTAGTTGAAATTAAAAAAGCAGCCCTTGCTGAGTTTCTTGTCAGTACGAGATCTCCCGCCTTAGTTTTGCGAACCATTGGTAAAGTTTTCGACTTTCACAAGTACTATATAACAGCCTAGACTGAATTGATTTTGATATTTATGTTAATATCATTCGTTTTGTGGATGCATAATGACACTTCATCTTCATCATCATTTTTGTTCTCCATTCCAAACCTGAATTCAACGAAAGTTACGAGCAACCAATAAGTTGGCTCATCACTAATGTTGATGTATAAACCAAACATCGTTCCTTTACACGTAACATAATAAACAACTTAAACTTAGAATTAAAATAAATTCAAATTAGTTTGAAAGTGAGATATTATAAGAAACACAAAACGATGTCATATTTATTAATCGAAAATACTCAATTTACATTTATTACGTCAGATATAAAATTTGAATGAATATCATAAACAAAATCCAAAAATCGCGAGTGACATCTAGTATGATTTCAAGAACTAATTTTTATTTTTTAAATACTTCCTCATTGTGAGCCAACTCAAATTCATACTAGTGTTCCAAATTGACAATTTTTCTACTAATTTTAAGACTTATAATGTTGCGTGGTAAACAAAAAATTGTTTGCGCAAATTCAATATTTGTGCTTATCTATAATGGACTTGTAATTAAGAAACATATTTTTATCATTCGAGAAAAAAAAAACAGCTTATAATAAACATATGTTTTAAAAAATCTTGGACTTACAGAAATCCGCAGGGTTGTGATACGGAGGGCACCTCAGTCCGGCACTCGCCAGTGCCGGTAATAAAAGTCTTCTAGGACCTTTGTAAAGAGTTCTGCCTTCAGAGAGGCAGTAGACGGAGTCAATTTTCTCGAATAGTAAAGCTGAAGGCTGGTGAATGGTGGCGACCAGAGTTCTTCCGCCGCGCGCCAAATTGTTCAGCAAAGCGATCAATGAAGCAGATGCAGATGAATCCAAGCCCCTGTTACATATTGTTTTAGGATAACAAAAAAAATTAACATAGCGAATAAAGCTTGAAATAAAATAAGAAACTTGTGACACTGTTTTGTTTCCAGAATTAGAGTATATCAATGATGTACAAAATATTAATCTTATTTAATCAATTAAATTCTTAACGACCGTAATTCAATGAAATGTTATTTTTCAATATATCTTTATATAAAATTGTACCAAAACTGCAGCTTTTAAGAATAGATTATCCGCCCGCGTGGTCTCTAGGGAAATGTTATAGTGTAATAAAAAGTATCCTATTATCTAAATCAGCTAATAACCTATCTTTATACCGAACTTCATTAAAATCCGTTCAGTAGTTTCGGAGTGATTGACAAACATCCAAATAATGAAACTTTCGCATTTATAATATTATGATAATAGGATTTTCGCTTTGAACTGCTGAATTGGAGAATAAATACTACTTAATTTCAATGACGCTTCACTATATATTTTACCAACTATTATTGTGAATCCTAAATCATTATTGTTTTGAATGCTGTGTAACAGATACACATAAAATTGTGTACAGTGGTGATAGGCATGTAAGAAGATTTTCGTTTAATTTATGAATATACAAAATCATGCAAATTCTATGCTATTGGTGCATATATTCAATTAGATACCTACAGCATTATGAAACGAAATTTATTAAATAAAAATACTTACGTCGTTGGTTCGTCGAGGAACATAAGCGAGGGATCCGAAAGAAGTTCCAGTGCCACAGCCAGCCTTCGCTTTTGTCCTCCAGATAAATCACGGCAAAGTGTTTGTGAAGCACTGCTTAGTCCTAATAACGCTAGGATCTCGTACACCTATGGGAATCATAAAGATTTCTAATTTAACTTACTGTATTTATTTTGATTAAGGTCCAATTTAGTTCTGACAAAAAAGCGTTTTTTATCTGCGAAACTAGCTAGTATTATACATATAAGTAAACATATTATACTTTACACAGGAGACGAATTACATTTCTTTTATTAATATGACTAAACTCAAATAAAACATTGAACTTTTGTAGTACTATTTTCAAGAGTGATACAACATAATCGGCACCAATAAACGGAAATAAATCATGTATTCTTTAATCGGTACGTAATTAAATATTCTAACAGAGGGACACTGTGGTTTCTGTTGTGTGACCAAGCTGAGTAAAGATAACGTATTCAAACTGCCTATTATTAAAATATAGTTTAATTGTCTCGTTTTGTAAATTGTAATATTTTAAAAAAGCTGTGATATTTCATGTTGGTTGTATGGAGCTAAGGTGATTAATATGTTCTATTACAGAATTAGGTCAATGATGACGTTATAAAACCGTAATATACCTACCCGTAAACATTCTAAAGAGTTTTAACACAGAATCTTTGAGCAAAAAAATCAGGTCGCTGACTATTATAACAATATTTGGTATCCACTTCTAACTTGTAGTGTTTTCGAAAATTGAAGAAGTAACAGTTAAAAGCAATCGTTTTCCTTGACTGGAGGTAAGTCGGACTACTTTTCAATAACACTTCAAAGTAGTAGGACGACGGTGTCAGTGGGTGCGTATGTAGATATTTATTTATGGGCATGTCAACGGACTGGGACAACCTACTGAATTTGTTTTATATGATTATCTAAGTTGAATGTCTTTTAATTCAATTCAATATGATTGACCTCTGACAATTAACTAATGCGGTAGGTGGATGCAGTCTCGACAGTGTTTGTGATCGCAAATTAACCGAATTTGGTTGATGACTCATAGTGATTCGTATTTTAAAGATCATTGCAAATATCTATAGTTACTACTTATGCGAATTAACATGACACCTGTGGCCCTATTTTATTTGAAATCGAACGAAAATTCGGAAAATTTCTAATCGTTCTTATAAAATTATAATAAGTTAAAATTATATTATCCATGAAGATTTTCTGTGATCAGAGACTGTCTCAGGCGATACCTCCGTTGCATTATAAATTATCGGAAATTGCGTTTCTTTGGAGCCGTATCAGCATTTCGTAAATTGATGAAATTTCGTTTTGGGATAAAATAGAAAACACCGTCAGGTTTCATGTTAATTTGTACGAATAATGATTATATTGTTATTGATATTAAATTTGCGATATTTGTTAATTTCCTAGCGATCGAATTTGACAGCTCGGTCAATGAACTTCGCGATCTCTAACGATTTGTATCAATGTCAAGACTGCATACACTGGGGTGCAGTTGGCTAGTTGTCTATTTTTTAAATCAATCGTATTCCCTTTCAAAGACATAGTGTATGATGGAATTTGGCAAACTTTTAAATTCCGTACTGCTTTCGGAATAAATGATTGTTTAAATAATCAAGAAACATAATTAAGCCTACAAAATATTGCAGTTAGCATTTACCTTTTTCGTTTGACATTTCTCAATCACTTTCAAGCATTTATCGCTTAGCTTAGATAATTACAATTAACATCAAACTAATGTTTTCTTCGTTCATTTAATATCTTTCAAAATAAATCGTTATTATTAAACGTTATATCATTAATTACATATCAAATAGTTGTACCGTAAAGTTCGTGAATATATTTCGAATTGAAAGGAATTGCGATAATTATTCAATGATTGTAGATAATGTGATGGAAGATGCTAAAAAATCCACTTTGTCCCTGGCACCCTGAAATGGGACTGCGATGGGGATTGCGATAGTTTCTGTAAAATTGCAGCGTTGAACGCAGTGTCGAACACAGTTATGACCAGTGGTCGGAATTAGGTAGAGTTATTCATGTACTTACACTGATTTCACACAGCAAAAGAATAAAGTGGATATGCCTCAAAACCCGAGATTAATTTTAAAGAGCAGAAAAAAATCCCGTGATTTTTTAAATAAAAAGTTATTTACTTTTACACAATTTAAACTTCTGCACGCAAGACGTTGCCAAACTTACATCAATGAAAGAAAGAAATAAAAAAAGAAGAAATAAAGAAATCCCGGGAAGGTCCACATTAATATCAACATATCGATGCAAGTACATAAATAACTCTACCTAATTCCGACCTCTGGTTATGACAGTATCAGAGCTTCCATTAAATAAGACTTTTTTTACATTTTGAAGTTAGGTTATGACAGCTCCGTGTTCTACGCTGCATTTTTACAGAATAGCTCTGTTGGTTCTATATTATTAAAATCGACATTTGATTTAAGTATCCTAGAACTACAATGTCTACTTTTATGTTTCAACTTCAACTTATTTTTTTTTAAAGTACACAAATCACGATGTTGACTATATATCAAAAGTTGGTTTTAATTACCACGAGAGAAAACAAAGACAAAGATACTGGTACTTAACAATATTTTTGGGAAATGGAATAAGGAAGTTACGTCGCGTCTCGTCGGCAGCAGAACGTTAAAACCGACAATTATGTGACATTAAACTTAATTAGTTGAGTAAAATGTCATAACTTATGTAAATATTTTTAACAAACAAAACAAGAATTTGAATGAAGTAAGAACTCTGAAAAGTTAGAATAGGACTGTAGAGGTAAATATGTTCTTTATATACTTCTATCAAAAGGTTTCTAATGTACAATAAAAAAACGTTTAGGTCATCACTATATATTTGAGACGCTTGTCAGATCTTCCGTTAGCTATGAACTGACCTTAAATGTGTTTTAAATCAACACAGGAAAACTATTATTTCCACCTTATAACACAAAGGTAATAAAGCTTACGGGCTCAATATAGCGTTCCTACTATTACGCCGAGAATAGGGATGATGACTAATTTTTGTTTATTTGATAGTGGAATTTCAGAAAAAAACACGGTTCGTGCCACGTGGGTGTGTCATTGAGCAACAACTAGGCGTCAATATGACCACTTTCGATACTAACTTTCTCCTTGCGTTCGTGCGCAGTAAAGTCGGCCAGTTTGAGGGCAGCCGCTAGACTCATCGATTCGTAGACCGTGAGGTGAGCGCGCAAGTCGTCTTGTTGACGTATGTACCGTGCTCCCCCCCGCCCCGCGGACTTGGAAGCGCACGTGCACGCGCCGTTCACGGAGATCTCGCCTTTTGCGCCTCGTGTTCTAAATCAAGCCAAGCATTTGCTACTGAAATATATTTATAATCACATATTATTTGACAATACGTTCTAATTTTACATAACACGAGAAATATTCATTATAAAAAAAAAAACAAGTAATGAACGTAGATATATTAATGCATTTTTTTACGCTAGGAATTGCATTGTTGCATACCCGCTCCTCCTGGCGCGGGGTCTACGGGTTATGTGGGGCTCTCCCACTGGAACCCTTGTTCATAAGGAGGATTCGTCATATAATAGGGGCATACCCATTAAAACCTAACAATGTCCCTCCATTAGGTCAATAAACAGAGACAGCCCGAAGACCACTCTTGCAGGGCGGGTCCGCATTAAAATCCGCTGTGCAGTTTAAAAGATTTCAGTGCACAGACAACAAAGCGTTTTTTTATACTATATATAGATGTTTTGGTTGTAAAAGAACCCTTAACAATATGTTATTTTTATACAAATAATTGCCATTTTTGTTCGTAGTAAAATACAGTACTTTCCTCTATTATTTCCTACTTGGTAAGTCTAATAATACTTAACCTTAACTATATAGGCAAATAGTGTTTATAAAAAACAGTGTTTTAAGTGTTATGACAGTGTAATAAAAAAGAAATGACATGACACATACGTGACAAGTGAAACTTTGCCTGAGGTCAACTAAAGAATAAAACAAAAAACATAATAGAAAAAACATACATAAGAGTATTTCAAATTCTTCATAAGTTACGTGAATAATTAAATTATTGTCACCAATTTCTAAAGCATTTGTCATTAAGTACTTAGTTAATTATATCATACTTTGTTTAAAGAAATTATTTATTGGTTCTTAATAGTTGTTCAAGGTGTAATTTAAATTATCAAATGCATACGTGCGTTCGTGCACCTACTGTCAACGTGCATGACTAAAAATCGCGACACAAGACCAATTATTCTACACTTATACATATAATTGACAGTATCATTAAGAAAAATTGTAATGTAGGTAAGTACCAGCGATATCTTAGTTGCGATAATGCAGGTGACTCTGATTTAGCAGCCTCTATGATTTATTCAACAAGATTAATATTTATGTAGGATACTTATACGTTGCGGAATCTTGTATATTGAAATTGGAAATATAACATGTTAGGATTCGATTTAGTTTTGCCGAACTAAAAACAGTATCGTATTATTTCTCTGAAATGGCAGTTTTATCAGAGTAGACTATCGTAATATGTCACATTTTTACAATTATTTGATGCATTTAGCTATCTCTATATAAGCTTTTAATCTTTCGCGTTGCATTATATTACGGACAATAAGCCGGTGACGTCGGTAAATATAGGTAGGTGAAAAACCTAACTATCAATCTATCGCGTTAATACCCGTTTCAAATAATCTTTTGATTATAGATTGAAAAATGCGTAAAAGTCATTATTTCTGAACCAGTGGCGTAACTATACCGTTTGAGGCCCGTGGCAAATTCATCGGTTATTCTATTTCTTTTTACTGATCGTGTAATAATAAATGTCAGGAGTAAGGAGTCTCCTCTGACCGGGGTCCCTTCCAGCTGGGGGCCCGTGGCATTTTGCCGACTTGCCACTCTGTAGTTACGTCATTGTGTAGTTACGTCACTCGACCGCGTACTAATTGATTTATAAAACTAGTGTTCTTTAAAAACTTTTATTGCCATTTGTTCTTCTAAAGATAATAATAATTTTATTAGATTGAATCTCTTAGGCTTCGAGAGCTGTGTTTACGCTATATTTTCACAGAATATCGAATCAGCTAACGCCTTCTTTTGTCCTCTTCGTTAGGATAACCAACAGTTTTTATAATTATTCACTTACAAGTAAAAAAATTACAATGGTTATAATTGCTTATTGCTCTCAGCATTCAGAATGTTACAAACAGTATATTAAAATTTTATTAATAACAAAAAATACATTAGAAATAATCTGTGATAACTACTTACGTTAAATAGAGGTATATGATACTGGAAAGTATCTGTAGTATTGTATAGTACACTCTTAAACAAGTTATTACGTCACTTTATTGACTTAACTAATGCTTACGTCTCGTTTGTTAAATTAGGTTCTATCCTACATGTTCAGAGAAATTTCTGTGTTACGTAGCTATTTCGAGGAATAATCATTAAGTGACACTTATAATTCTAACCACGTAAATATCCTGGCATTGATTATATTAATGTTTGTTTTTTGGTTACATCTACTCACATAACTTATATTTACTTTGAAATAATACCTATATGGCTACACTCCGCTTGTCCATTGAAATGCGGAAGAAAATTTGAATTTAATAGGTACTAAAATAGTCGTATATAATAATGAATTTAAACCAAACCATGGCAAAATTACTTGCTAAAATCATAACTCTTAGCAGTAATAACCCATATCTAAATAAACAAATATTAGACAACATAACATACATATTTTTACATATAATTATTTTAATATTTACTATATATTTCTTCGCTGGCAAATTTGAATTTAAATAACATAACAATACAATGAATAAATAAAAGTAATTATGTAAAATTGCAAAGTATAACATTTCAAGCCAATGTCTTGATTAGAATTATTTCATGGATTCAGTCGTAACCTTGTGATCGTTTTCATTGTACTTGAAAAACTATATAATTAATTAACTTTCACATCCAGTCAGTAGCTGCAAGTTAACTCTGCACCGCTCCTTTTTAAATTAATACCAGCTTTTGCCGCTTGAGCGCGTTTCATACTTTACGGACGGAGCACAGGAATATTGGTATGGAAGTTGGTAATTATATTGTAGTTCTACGGATATTGTATCGATTGAATTTCGAGAATTTCAAATAGATACGTAACGAAATTATTACAAATTTTCAATTGGTATTCATAAAATCAGGCGACGTAACTTATAACTCATATCACCCGCATATGATTAAGCTTCTCATAGCTTATAAACAAACAAAGAAAGAATCAATTCTTTCATCTTTATATTATTAGTATAAATAAATAGAAAAGATTTAGCTTTAAGTAAATAGCTCTATTACTTACAAGTAACCTGCTAGTATATTGAGAAGAGTAGTTTTTCCGGCCCCCGATGGGCCCATAATAGCCGTCAATTCACCGGGCCTGAAGCTGCCATCTACACCTTTGAGAATATGTCTTCGTTCTGAAATTAAACAAAATGTAACGCACTGAGGATCATTGTAATATAATGCTGGAAAATAAATAAGAAATCATCCCATTTACTTTAATTCTATACTCTAGTCTCATTTAAAAATATAACGCTGTCGCAGCATTAAAACTGCTATTAAAAGAAACCTATCTCGAAAGATTATAAAGGTTTTATTTGATTCAACATCTAATACATCGTTGCTTTCGACGTTATTTGTATTTTCACAGAATATCAAAAGAGAACTAAAATGTAAAGGGTTTTGTGTATAATCAAATATTTAAAGGTTTATAGAATAATATAAGAAAATCAAATTTATTTATTTAGTATATAATAAATTCAATTTATATCAGATGTGGAATGAAAACCTAAAGGATTCATATGACGTTAAAGCAATATTATTAGTTAGTTAGTATGTAAATAACAAAATACATACACAATTTGAATGTATTATTCAAATTAGCAAACAATTAATTCATTTTGTTATTAGTGAGAACAGTATTATAAAATCTCAATAAACCTGAAAACATCAATTGATTAATTTATAAAATATTAAAAAAGTTGTGTAGCGTCGTTTAGAATTTTTGGAGATTATAACACATTTCTACAGTATCGATAAATAATTAATTTAACTTGGGTAAAATGTAACATTTTATTAAAATAAGAAAATATTTAGTTATAACTCATTAGTCAATCTTATTCGCGCTTAACATACAGTATACTCAAAAAAATGTAGAGAAAATTAAGCTAGGTGCAATTAAATACAAAGAAGCGGTCGTGTTGAATTATGAATACATATATTTATATTGAATATAGGTAGTTATTGGTTTCAGGTTAAATTAAAAATTTTGACTTACTGATTTGAAACAAAAGATGAAAATTTGGGTACAGATAATGCAGAAGTAGTCGATGACATTGAAAATGGTATACGTGACGTTTTTAATTGAGCGCAATTAATTTAATAGTCTCTGAAACAATAAGACTAGGGCTGGCAATATATTGTATAAAAAAGTAAAGATAAAGTTAGTATCGGTTCGTAAAAAATAGTTTTGATCAGAATTCGAACATAACATATTTAAATTCCAACCGTACTGAAGAATCATAAATGAAATATCGTTTGATGTTGAGAAAGTATTTAAAAAAAATGAAAGCACTAATAAAGCACCTCCACTAGATGGCAACTCTAGCAAAAATTGATTTTTGCAGGAAACGAATGGACCAAAGGCAGTCATTTTCGTTCCTATCAACAAACATTAAAAAACAGAAATTTGAAAAGTTCAAAACTTAGATATCAATAGGAAAAAGTACAAATAGAATATGCGTTGTTTATTGACTTTTGAAAACTAATTTACTTTTAAACATGAAAGAAAACCCGAAGAGTTGTCATTGAGAAATCAAGAAAGTACGACATCTAGTTTAATTTCGGGAACTAATGTTTTTTTTTAAATACTTCCTCATTGTGTATCGGGCTTTGAAATTCAATAATTGGCAAGACGCCTCTTTCTATCTATAATAATATATAGGCAAATGCTATGGACTTCCGTAAGGTAATGCTTGGTCCTAAAATATATATAATGCAGCCCGATTGGCAACTCATGACAAGACTAATATTGACGATTCTCCGTGCACCGACTAACATATTTAAATGGCAAATGACGTCAAATGTACAACGTCTCAACAGTGCGCTATTCACGTCGTAGTCTAATAAAAATACGATATATTGGTAAATTTGCATACGATGGCCTTACCGGCTTATGCGTTACGAATATCAAAAGAATCATTAGCTTGTATTATATAATTCTAAGCCAAAATCGTCGTCTTATTGAAGATGAATGGAATTGCTAATTTTTCAAATGTTTACTAGGATACAGTAAATACATTAAAATATGATTTTAAGCGAATTTAAATTTATATTTTTGACAAAATGTCAAACGTGTTACGCGGGTGACAGCACATGTTATGGAACGTCTAAAACTCTAAAAACAATACCAATAATACGCGCTTAAAATGTAAATAAAACTGACTTTATTTGTACTCCTCTTATATTGGGACAACGTACACAGCATTTACTTAATTTAATCATAATGAAAGCAAAAACGATAGGCGCATTTATTGATTAGTTTGTTTAAAAACTGGCATAAAATAATGTTAATTCGATCGGAACTAGCCAGGAAAAGGGTTTAATAACAAATTTACACACTACCTGTTAAAATGCTGCAATAGTGAAACCTAGTGTTGTACGATGCATGCAATTTACAAATAATTAACAATTGCAGACCACCTAATTACATATAAATAGCTTGCAGCCCTAATCATCTGTAAAGTAGATATTATATACAACTTTCTATCCTTTCAAAAAACGATTAAACAACTTAACGAAAGAAGATCACTGATTTCCTGGACATATAAATATATAAGTAGGTATTTTGCATTAGGCACACTATTCCACATTTGGTTACTTCCTTATAATATATTTGATTGTTTGTTGGGTCCGAAACTACCAGACATATTTAATAAAAAAATCTACAGGAAGTTGCATCATACGCAGGTGACATAGGTTATAATTAACGCGGGCAAATTCGCGGGAAAATTGGGTAGGATACGGTAGGCAAAGACGATCTTCTCGTTAGAAGCGATTTCTTCTAGACTTTCGAGTCGTTGCACATTTGGAGAGAAAGAGCGAAGATAGTGATCCGATCAAATAATTCGAACTAATGGTATCCAAAATAAAAGTTGCAATATCTAAATATATTATAGTATTAATAATAGGTGTGTAAAAAACTCAAAGAGAAGCTAAGATAAATTAAACCTAACGTTTCTTACGTAAATGGCATGAAATCACAAGATGAACATCTTGTGATTTTATCAATCAAAAAAGGAAGAAGTCACTTAACTCTTCGTGTGTTATCTTACAAAATCACAATTAGATGTCAGGTTTAAAAAAGTATGAAAAATAAACTTATATAACTATAAGTTTAGTTGTATTTTTATTATATAATAAACTCTTTTCTTTACGCGTAAATTTTAGCATATGTCCCCCATATGATCTAGCATCCTTTAAGTGAAAGAATTTTTAAAATCCGTCCAATAGTTTCAGAGCTTGCAAACAAACAATGAAATGATTCCTCTTTTTAATAGTGATAAAGGTGCAAGAAAATGTTTTTATTGTTTTATAATGATATATTTTATCTTCATTATAAGCTAATTAATGTTCAAGCTGCTGGAGTAAATAACAGATACGTGATAATAATTTACGAGGGCAAAGTCACGGTAAAACGGCTAGTAAATCATAATAACTAAATAGGGACGATAAAATAGGTATGACTGGGTAAAAAAGTTCTATTTAGTCCGTCTTGCAGATAATAGAAATATATTAGATACATATATTTTTTGCTTTAATTTAACAAGAAATGGCTAAGTCATTAAATTAGAGGATTGGGGACTCGCTATGTCACAACTATATAGCAAATGGACAAATGTGCGACATCATGCGATATATTAACACAATGTATCGCGACACTTTATTGATTACGCAAAAAATAAAAAATACGTGTTTAATATTCTTCAATAACCCACCTGAGGAACAAACAAAAAAACGTCATCGTCCCTAAGTGCCATCTTAATATTATTCACAACGATGTGTTCATGACGTTACCTTCAAATTAAATCATGCAAAATTTTATTTTAAATTACAGTATTTTACCTAACAGAATTTTACATATTTATTGAATTTTCCAAAAATATACATTAAGGAAACTAAATTGTTATATCATTAAAATAAATGTAAAAACTTCCTTTCCATATGTTTTCAATTTGATATAAACCTGTCCTAAAAAGATGTGAATTGACTTTAAACAATATTGTGGCGACTGTCAGGAGTAGCTTCGTCTTCAGGTAGCTGATATTATTGGTAAATAATAATATATTTATTTCTGTATAAATATGGAAAGTACAAGATGTTACAATTTATTTTCTAGTTAACAGACATATTTACCAGAAACTGGTATGCAGAAGAAATTATAATAATCAAGGAATTACAATAAAAGTCATGATTAATCAAATGTCATATACCACACAATAATAATTCATAATTTTAAGATAATATGTCAACATTTATATTCAAAGTATTCCTTTAAGCTATAAAAACATTTCGTCGTAAGCCATTCTTTTAACTCAGACTTAAATATACTAAGCCTGTCGTTTTAAGCTTTTATTGGCAGCTTATTAAAAATTAAAATTGCCATAGGATAATTACTTTTTGCCACATTTCCGGTTTTATCAAGTGTATTGTCATGAGGCAATTAAAAAAACATTAAACACATTCAAGCATTGTTTAAAACATTTTATACGAAGTTTAAAACGATAAGGATCTACTTTAAAAAAAATAAACCTTATTTCGTTTAATCATATCTTCATTTATTTATCTTACATTGGACACCTATGCTAATATTAAAAAGAGGTAAGGTTTAATAGTAGCTCGGTGGCATATTAGTTAAACACTGCGGCCCGCGAACGTGTTGTTAATCAACTTTCACAAGGGTCGGTTTTTGGATGGGTAACCAACAAAAATTATCTTAAGCTACTCTTTGTTTCGGAAGGCACGTTAAGCCGTTGGTCCCGGTTACATTTGCAGTCGTTAATGCACTCCAATCCGTATTGGTCCAGTGCGGATGGTCGTGGCCCATCTACCTTAACCATCCATAAATAAGACCCGAAACCCTGCAGCGGGGACGTAGAAGGGCTGATGTTGATGATGGGATTTTTTTTTATAAGTAGGGGGTTATCTTCGGAAATACTGATCTTATGATAGAGATTCTTTCACCCACAGAGAGCTGCTTCATACGCGGGTGTCAGTCTATAGACTACGTTACGGAAGAATAGCAAGTGTCATATGAAAAAAAACTCGTGATTTATGATGCTCAAGTATGAGATATTTGTTCTTAGAAAAAAATTGTAATCCAACTAACTATTCTATAGAAAACTACCTAGCGCCAATA